GGAAGCTCCACTTACTCCTATATTCTCTAGTGATTTTAATAGGAATGGGTATTGTACTTTGTCAAAAAGCTTTTCGTGCACTTATTAAGATAATCATATGATTTCTTTTGGTTTTGTTATTGATATAGTCAAATATGCTGATGGTTCTAATATTGAACCAAGTTTGCATTCCTAGTAGAAATCTTATTTGGTCATAGTGTATGATTCTTATGATGCATCGCTGTAATCTCCTGGCTAGCGTTTTATTTAAAATTTTTGCATCAATATTCATTAGGGAAAATTTTCTTCCTTTATTTTTCTCTTCCTAGTTTGTGCATTAGCTCCATATTTGTCTTAAAAAAGGAATTTGGTAGGCTCCTTCTTTGCTTATTTTTCTTTTTAAAATTTTTTTGTTACATTTTAAGTTCTGAACTATCTTCCTCCTTCTCCACCTCACACTAGAGAAGGCCACTATTTCACACACATGTGTGTGTGTGTGTAAAACCTGTTCAGAGGACCCATTAAAAATCATACTATGCATACTTCTATTTATCATTTCTTTCTTTGGAGGTGGAGAGCATCTTCCTTCATAGGTCCTTTGTAGTTGATTTGAATACAATAATACTCAGAATAACTTAGTCATCTATAGATGTTCTTCAAACAATATTGCTGCTACTGTATACAATATTCTCTTGGTTCTGCTCATTTCACTGATCATCCTTTTTTAAAAATAATTAATTAACTTTTAGTTTTCAGCATCTATTTCCATAAGATTTTGCATTTTAAATTTTCTCCCCCCTCTCTCTCCTTTCCCCTCCCCAAGATGGTGTTCAATCTGATATAAGCTCTATGAAGATGTCTGAGATCCTTGCATTATTAAGAAGAGCTAAGTCTATCAAGGTCAGTCATCACCCAATGTGGCTGCTACTGTGTACAGCGTTCTCCTGGTTCTGCTCACTTCACTCGGCATCAGACCATACAAGTCTTTCCAGTTTTTTCTGAAGTCCTCCTGCTCATCCTTTCTTATAGCACAATAGTATTCCATTACATTCATATACCACAACTTGTTCAGCCATTCCCCAATTGATGGGCATCCCCTCAATTTCCCATTCTTTGCCACCACAAAAAGAGCTGCTCTAAATATTTTTGTACATTTTGTACATGTGCACAATATATTTTGTACACATGTACATTTTGTACATTTGGGTCCTTTTCCCATTTTTATGTTCTTTTTGGGATACAGATCTAGAAGTGCTATTGCTGGGTCAAAGGGTATGCAAAATTTTATAGCCCTTTGGGCATAGTTACAAATTGCTGTCCAGAATGGTTGGATCATTTCACAACTCCACCAACAATGCATCAGTGTTCCAATTTTCCCACATCTTCTCCAGCACTTGTCATTTCCCCATTTTGTCATGTTAGCCAATCTGATAGGTATGATGTGGTATGTAAGAGTCATTTTGATTTGCATGTCTCTAATCAATAGTGATTCAGAGCATTTTTTTCATATGACTATACATAGCTTTAATTTCTTCATCTGAAAACTGCCTGTTTGTATCATATTTTCACATTAGTGAAGTTGTAAGTAAAAATTAAAAAGCAATAGGAGGAACCATCAGAAAGATGAAACAAAACTCAACAGAAGGTAAAAATAAGTGATAGTGATTCGACTTCCATAGTTCTTTCTTTGGATGTGGACAGCATTTTCCATTCCAAGGCCTCTAGGTAAACTATTTCATGCTCTCCTAGTTTGCTTATAGTATCAGTCTTTATATGTAACTCATGTACCCATTTTGACTTTATCTTGGTATAAGGTGTAAGATGTTGGTCTATGTCCAGATTCTGTCATACTATTCTCCAGTTTTCCCAGCAGTTTTTGTTAGTGATTTCTTATCTCAGAAACTGGAGTCTTTGGATTTATCAAAGCACTCTTCTTTATTTCTTGCAAGACTTTACATGTTTTTCTAAAACCAACCTGCCCATTGTTTCTTATAGCACAGTAGTATTCATTACAATCATATATGACAACTTGTTTAGCCATTGCCCAACTGATTGGGCATCCCTCAATTTCCAGTTCTTTGCCACCACAAAGAGAACAATGAATATTTTAGAATATATAGGTTCCTTTCCTTTTTCCCTGATCACCTTGGGAAACAGAGCTAAAATGGTATTGTTGGATCAGAGTATACACAGTTCTATAACTCTTTGGGCATAATTCCAGATTGCTTTCCAAAATGGTTGGGTGAGTTCACAGTTCCACCAAGAGTGAATTAGTGTCCTAATTTTTTCACATCTCCTCCAACATTTTCATTTTCCCCTTCTACCATTTTAGCCAATCTAATGGTTGTGAGATATCTCAAAGTTGTTTCAACTTGTATTTCTCTAATAAATAATGATTTAAAGCATTTCTTCATATGATATGCATATATATATATCATATCATATATATATATATCATATCATATATATATATGTATTTGATTTCTTCATTGAAAAAGTGCTTATTCATATCCTTGGACCATTTATCATTGGGGAATGACTTATATTCTTATAAATTTGACAAAGTTCTCTATATATTTGAAATATGAGACCTTCATTCAAGAAACCGTCTATAAATCCACCCCCCCCCCCCAATTTTTTGCTTTCCTTCTAATCTTGGTTACGCTGGTTTTATTTCTACAAAACCTTTTTTTTTTAAATTTGATGTAATAAAAATAATTCATTTTATATTTCACAATGCTATCACTTATTTATTCATAAATTCTTCTCCTATCCAGAAGTCTGATAGGTACTATTTTCTTATGATATTCCCATTTCTAAGTAGGTCATGTATCTGTTTTCACCCTATCTTGGTATATGGTGTTAGATATTCATCTATGCCCAATTTCTGCCAGAGTGCTTTTCAGTTTTCCCAGCAAGTTTTTAGCAAATAGTGAATTCTTATCACAAAAGTTCAAATCTTTACATTTTGTCAAACACAAGGTTACTATAATAATTTACTATTGTGTATTGTATGTCTAATCTGTTCTACTGATCCACCTTTCTATTTCTTAGTAAGTAGCAGATGGTTTCGATAATTACTGCCTTATGATATAGTTTAGGATCTGGTATTGCTAAACTTCTTTTCTTTACATATCTTTTCATTAATTACTTTACTGTTTTTTACCCTTTGTTCTTCCAAATGAATTATTTTTTTCTAGCTCAATAAAATAATCCTTTTGGGGGGTAATTTAATTGGGATAGCATTGAATAAGTAGATTAGTTTAGGTAGGTCATTTTTATTATATTGGCTCTGTCCACCCACAAATAATATTTCTCAAATTATTTAAATCTGACCTTATTTGTATGAAAGGTATTTTATAATTATATTCATGTAGTTCCTGGGTTTATCTTGGCAGACATACTCCCAAGTATTTTATGATGTCTATGATTATTTTAAATGGGGTATCTCTTACTATCTCTTGCAGGGTTTTGTTGGTGATATATAGAAATGTTGATGATTTATGAGGGTTTATTTTATGTCCTGCTACTTTGCTAAAATTATTGTTTCAACTAGCTTTTTAGTTAAATCTCTAGGATTTTCAAAGTATATCATCTGCATCCCATAGGTTTTGGTATGTTGTCTCATTATTATAATTTTCTTTAATAAAGTTAGTTGCTATGACTTGTTCTTTCAGATTGGTTTATTTAGTCTACGATTAATTTTTAATTTGTGTTTCCATGGTCCCTTATTAAGAATAATTTATTGCATTATGATCTGAAAAGCATGCATTTAATATTTCTGCTTTTGTGCATTTAATGATAAGGTTTTTATGCCCTAATATATGGTCAGTTTTTGTAAAGGTACCATATTACTACTGCAAGAAAGACATATTCCTTTTTTTTTTTTTGGCTGGGGGAGGCAATTGGGTTAAGTGACTTGCCCAGAATCACACAGCTAGTCTGAGGTCAGATTTGAACTCAGGCCCTCCTGAGTCCAGGGCCAATGCTTTATCCACTGCACCACCTAGTTGCCCCTGCATATTCCTTTCTATTTCCATTCAATTCTCTCCAGATATTATATCTAGATGAGGAGTGGATTCATCTCCTTAACTTTCCTTTCTTTTTTGTTTTTTGCCTGTTTTTGTAAACAGTTTATTTTTAGTAGGATTTATTTCTGAATCCATTTTGCCCTGGGGATTTTTTCTTAGGGAGTTCATTGATGGCTTCTTTAATTTCTTTGTCTAGGATGGGGTCATTTAGGTATTCTATTTCCTCTCCCATTAATCTGCAATTTGGATTTTGTAAATATCTATCCATTTCACTTAGATTGTCACATTTATTGGCACATAATTGGACAAAATAGGTCCTAGTAATTGCTCTAGTTTCCTCTCCATTGGTGACAAATTTACCCTTTTCATTTTTCATACTGGTAATTTGATCATCTTATTTAAAATCAAATTAACCAATGGTTTATTACCCCTTATTGAATGTATTTTTTTTTATTGCATTATGATCTGAAAGGGATGCATTTAATATTCCTGGTTTTCTGCCCTGATATATAGTCCGTTTTTGTGTAGGTGCCATGTGCTGCTGAGAAAAAGGTGTATTCCCTGTATTCCCATTCAATTTTCTTTTTTAAAATTTCGTTCACCTCTTTTTGTTGTTGTTGTTTGTTTAGATTTATCTAGTTCTAAGGGCAGAAAGCTGAGGTCCCTCACTCGCATAGTTTTACTCTTTCCTCCTGTGACTCATTTCACATTTTAAAAAATCAGCTCCTCTATGATCTCTCTCCGTCTTCTGCCTCACCAACTGAAATTTATTTTCCTCCACTCCCTCCTGTTTTCACCCCCAGAAGTCCCGTTGCCCCTTCTAATGTGGGTCCTCCCATCCCTCTCTCCCCACCATTTCTCCCTGCCTGCATCTTTTCCTCTCTTGCCCCATCCCCTCTTCTCTCTCCTCTGTGACCCCAGTCTGCATCCCCTCCTCTCCAGCCCCACCCTCATGAGGCTCTCACCCTTCAGCCTTCCCTTCCTGTCTAGGACATGCAGAAGGCTGTCGTGCCTCGTTGCTGATGTCACTGCTGCTGTCATTGCCGCTGGGGCTGAGTGTGCCGGCACAGTGCACTGGAATCTTGTCTAGCTCCCTGCCAGAGCTCATGCCCTTCTTCACAAGTCTCATCTGCCTGACAGTCGGTGCGCGGCTCGCCCGGGTCGCAGGGCGGGGGGTGAGGGGAGGGAGTGGACCGAGGGCCAAGCTCTGCGTGCCCCTTAGAGATGTGGGCGGTGCCTGCCCATTCTCCCTCAGTCGATCCTCGGTGCCATCCTCTCCCCAGGAGGTGTGTCCCCACCTCTGGCCCAGGTCCTCAGCTCTCCTCCCCAAATCCACGTCGTGCTCTAATTGCCCAGTGCCTTCCCAGGCCTTGACTCGCCTGCCCGCCCCACGGCAGGTAGCGTTGAATTCCTCGCCTTCGTATTCTTCCGCCTCATGTTGAACCGGCTCCAGTTTTTATTAAGGGAATTCGATGTGTGGCTCAACTGGCCGGCCTACTTGCTCCTCTTCTCTTCAGTGATCTACTTCGTTGTTGGTGCGGTCCTGGAGCTGGAGGCTGGAGGCGGGAATCGGGAGCGGGAATCAGGAGGAGGAAGAAGGGGCAATGGGGGAGGGGCAGGAGAAGAGAGGAAGGGGGGATGGAGAAGGAGAGAGGAGCAGAGGGCGAGACAAGAGGGAAGGGACAGAGGGGAGGCGAGGATGTTGACGGCGAGAGAAGGGATGGAGAAGATTACAGCAGGCAGGCTGAAGGTACTCCTGGGAGACAGCTGTGGGGGACAGAGATGTAGGGGGAAAGGAAGGGACATCGAGGAAAGGGCTGTATGGCAAGTGGGGAGGAAGGGATGATGTGGAGAAGGGAAAGGAGGTGATTGAGAAGGAATTAGAGGAGAGGGAAAGAAGGAGGGATGAGAAGTGTGAAGAATGTGGCTGAAGCTGTCGCTGGGAGTAGGGAAGGGTACATAGATGCAATATAAAAGATGGAGGAGGGGAGCTGTGGGGGGGGGTTGGCAGAGAAAGCATTAGTAGAGCGGGTGGAAGTAGAGAGGAGGGGAGAAGAGGTAGGTGTGGACAATGCAGGGCCAGCTAGGTGGTGCAGTTGACTGACTGGAAGTTAGAGAGACCTGAGTTCAAATTTCACTTCAGACACTTACTAGCTGTGTGACCCTGGGCAAGTCACTACCTCTCTATTTCCTCATCTGTAAAATGGGGATAATAATAGCACCTCCCTCCCAGGGTTGTTGTGAGGATCAAATGAGATATTTGCAAACTGCTTTGCAAACCTAAAAGCACTATATAAATGCTATTATTATTTTATGTAGGGAGTATGGGAGACAGAAAATAGGGAAGCAGCGTATTGAGGCCAGGGTATTGGGTGGAGGAACCAGACAGATAATGGCAATGGTGGGGGAGGAGGAGAGCTTGAGAAGGGATATGGAGTGGTCATCATGAGTGGGAGAGATGTTGGGGCAGAGTATGGAGGCCAAGGCAAGAAAATAAAGGAAATGAGCTCGCCTCCTACTCCTAAGGATTACAGCTGGCACCTCTTCTTCCAGCAGGGTCCTTCCTCTTCCATCATCATCTTCATCACTCTACCTCTATGACACAGTCGTCAGGGATGCAGTCAGCTCCCCAAAGCCCAGAAGTCTCACAGAGTTCTGACCGTTCTCTGGTCCCCAAAGATAGTGAGCAACCTGAAACCTCACAGACCAAAACACCCATGTCTTCTAGAGCTTCTGAATCATCTGGGCCCCAAGGCCCATAAAACCTTCATTCTCTCTGAGGATTTCCGACAGTGGCTCAAAGTCCCAGAGATTCAGAACTTCCTTTTCCCAAATGTTTAACAGATCCTGGAGCTCTGAGCAGCCTTGGGTCTCCCAAAACCCTAAAACCTCCTCATACCCCTTGGGCTTTAGGGTTCAATCAATCTCTAGGAAGCCCCCATGTCTCAACCACTCCAGTTCTCAGAGTTCTACTTCAAGACCCACAGACCTCTAAAGTTTTGCTCCCAAGATCTCAAAGGTACCTATCTCCATCACCCCTTCCCCATGGCCATAACTCTCTTCTGAATGGTAAAAATATTGACTTTTAGAAGCGAGCACTTCCCTGCTGGTGGAGGTGTCTAAACTTCCTCCTTTCCCATATCATAACTCCCCTTCCCCCAGCAAAGTAAGATTTTCCCTCTATGAGATTTGTCTCCACCCTCTTGAGGTCCTTGGAGAAAATGAGGGTGTAGACAGGAACCTGGATATTGAGTGTGGTGAAGCCAAGTGGACCAGAAACAGAAAGCCAGAGAATAAGGAAGATCTACTGAGACAGAAGGATGGAAAGAGATGGTTGTCAATTTCCTAGATGAAATTGCTGTCATTAAAGAAAGCCTGGGGTTTCTTCCCCAACCCAGTGTTCCACCATCATCTTAATGGCCAACTTGATTCCATTATGGTTATCCCCAGCTGTAACCCTGCTCTCCATCTGTACCCCCTCCTCTACCATCCCACTCTGATCACTAATGTCCTTCCCAACTCCACCTCTAAACCCATTCCCTTTAGCCCCAAACCTAAACCCATCCTCTATCCTTTCCCTTATGCCTAACTTCAATTCCACTACCTTCCCCAAGCCACCTCCAACTCACCCCACCCTCAAATCCATATCCATTCTCTATCTTTATCTCTGCTCCTAACTCCAAGCTTCATTCTGTCCCCCTTCCTCTGCCATGAACTGGAGGGGGGTGATGATGTCAGTCTTGGGGGTCTTGGAAGGTTCTATGGCAGTTGGGACCCTTAAGCGAGTGGGGAAGATTGGAGAAGCACAGCTGTTATGTCCAGGGGGAAATCTAAGGGGACTAGGAGGGACCTGAGGGGACCAGGAATGAACTGAAGAGATTAGGAAAGACCTGGTGGAACAAGAAGAGATCAAGACCTGGGCAGAAGCTGAAGAGATGGGAAATAACTATGGAGGACAGGGAGACATCTGAGGAAAAGCAGAGGGGCATGCAGAAATTAAGAGAAATTGGAGCCAAGCATTAGGGACTGGATATAGGGACAAGGCCAGACTGAAGGATAGTTCAGGCTCCTGGAACAAGCCTTTGCCTTCCTTGTATCCCAAAGCCTCTCAGCCTTTGGAGAAAATGAAGAAACAGGACTGGAATTCATTCAGCAACACAGAGGGCTTGGTGACCTTCAAAATGGTCCTAAACAGCCTTTGCTTTATGCTTCTCCTTCTCACTGTGTTCTTGCCCTATTGGCTGAAGATTCAAGTGTCTCATACCAATCTCTACATGGGCTTATGGAAGGCTTGTGGGGACAAAATGTGTGAGGACATTCTGAATTCAGGTACATAAAAATAGAGAGGAGAATGGAGGGCAGAAAGTGAGGATGAGGATTTTGAAGGAGGTAGTGAATATGGATAGGGACAGGGATAAACATGGAGAATAGAGATGGAGGGTAGAGAATGAAGGTGGAGCTGGAAATAAAGGTAGAGGATAGAGGAAAAGAGGATCCCCAAGTCTACTGAACCTGATTTAAGCAACTTGATGTCATCCATTAGTCTAAGAAGGTTTCTTCCTATGAGTGGGCATATGGGCACAGGAGACTGACCCTGGGGATGTGTGTGTGTGTGTGTGTGTTAGCCATCGCTATCACTGCCTTTCTCCAGTCTTAATTAAGGTAGTTCAAGTGCTGATGGGCATAGCCATTGTAACAGGCTTCCTGGCTTTCATGGACATCTTCCTGATACTGATCAATGTAGTGAATGATACGACATTCTATTACCTTTCCTCTGCCCTGTGCAGCTTTGTCACTGGTAAGACACCTCGACTCCATTGTCCCTATGGGGCTTGGTTAAGAGGTGGTGGGAGGCTGGACACTTGCTGTTCTGGGGCTCTGACACCATCTAATTCTTCCTGCAGCCTTACTGGGCCTTGTTGCCCAGATCATCTTCATGATCAGCATACAAGTGATTTCTATCCATAGCACCAATCACCTTATCTTCGAATGGGGCTTCTACCTAGGCTGGGGCACTTCCACATTGTACCTCCTGAGTGGTGAGGTGGTGATAGGGGCTAAAAAGGGCTGGGAACAGGGCTAGGATTGGAAAGGGAGAACAAAATAAGGGTGAGGCTGGTCGTGGGTATGGGAATGAGGACGGAAGTGGGAATGGGCAGGAGATGGGCATATGATCAGAAATGGAGAACAAGATAAGGGTGAGGATGGTGATGAGCATGGGAATGAAGATGGGGATGGGAATGGGAACTAAGAGGCCTCCCCTCTCAAAGGCTCTCTGATACTGGTGAGGAGGTACATGAAAACAGTGAAGTCAAGAACCAGCCCTATGACCAAGTCAATCCAAGAACCCAAGTCAACCTCCAGCTGAAGTCAGCTCCTGCCCTTCTTTCCTGGACCGGACCTTCTGCAGCTCTTCTCTCTCTCTCTCTCTCTCTCTCTCTCTCTCTCTTTCTCTGTGTGTGTGTGTGTGTGTGTTTAAAGCCTCTCAGGTACTGGCTCTGACTTTGCCTCTGGGGAACCCTTCCTCCATTTTAACATCTTTTGCCTCCAGGACCCCTTCCTCTTTGTTCCCATTCTTCCCATGAATCCCCTGGGCTCTACTCTCTGTGTATGGTGGGGGAGGGAGGAGGGAGAAGTGACCTGAAGTAGTTTCCAAGCCACCCTGGTTTTCCAGCTAAGAAATCATTTGTATAAACAAAAACAGTGAATAACCAAGTAAACAGACAAACAAACAGTCTGAGCAGTGGCATCTTTGGGAAATAAATGGAACCTTTGGCTGGCATCCTAGACATTTCAGGTCCCAAAGCCCATATAATCTTGGGGATCCTGGCCTCCCAAGCCTCCTGGGGCCTAGGTGTCTATGTTCCAGTACCTTTGGCCCCAGGAGTTCTAGTTCCCAGTTCCCCACTGTGTATCTGTCCCACATTGCCTTAGGCTTCCCAGTGCCAACCTCTTTTGGGGGGACCCAAGTGTCTGCCTCCAACCTCTATTCACTTCAGGGATCTAGGTATCTAGTCACACCACTCCCTCCCCAGGACAGAACCAAAAAGGGCTTAGTGAGTCAGCTTTACCAAGCCTGTGCTGTTACTAGCCACATCCTCTCCTACCCACGTCCTGGTGAATGCCACTGTTTTTTTTCTTTTTTTTAAACCTTCTCATACCACCTCCAGGATACCTCTTCTCTTTCAGGGAATAGGAGGAAGAGGCCTCTCCCCTTAACACCCTATACACTCCTCACTACCCGGTGGGATGTCAGCCTTACTTGCCTTTCCCCATACCTAGCCCCCACCAGCCCCAGGCAAAGGACAGTGACATTAGGGTTTGAGGAAAGGAGTATAAAGATGATCTGCGTCATGAATCTGGTGTGAAACCCTTCACCTCTTCCCTTTCCGGGACCCACACTTGAAGCCCCAACCTCTTGCTGGCTTGGCCAAGTCTCAGTCCCCTTCCAGGTCCTTGAGACCCAAACATTTGGCTTCCAGTCCTCTGTAACTTTTCAGGCCCCAGCTACTGGCACCTGTATCGCTCAGGAATTCAGGTTGCCCCCCAAATTCTCCCTACCCTACCTACAAGATCCAAGCTCCCTGTTCTCTGGCTTCCACTGTCTAAGGCCCCAGGAGTCTGGCCTTCCAGTTACTGCCCATCTCTGAGAATAAGGCACCCCCAGTTCCTGAGGACCCAAGCCAAGGATGCGTCCCTGCTCCGTGCTCGCCCTGCTTTCTGGGAGTCTTGCTCTGGCCCTCCTGCTGGTCACACTGAGTACTGATTACTGGATCACCTCTGTAAGCCCTAAGCACCAGGCTCACTCTGGCCTCTGGCACCCAGATGAGGATTCTGTGAAAGGTAAGAGGGCCGTCCCTGGGATTTGGTGACCTTGGAACATCCAGTTTGGGCTTATCTGCTAGCACCCATGTTGCAGATTTCATCCAGGCCACCCGAGTCTTCGCCATCCTGGCTGCACTGGCAGGTCTGCTGTCCATCTCCTGTCTGATCCTCTTCATCACTCCGTTTCTCCGTAACTCCAGCTTCAGCTCCCTGGCCTCTTTGGTTTTTTGCATCACAGCCTTCGTTGCAGGTGAGTCCCATGGCAGGGGAGGGAGAGAAGCCTAGGAGGCAGAATTGGCAGGCTGGGGAGGAGAGAAGGGTCTCACAGCCTCCCATTCACAGCCCTCTTCTGCATGGTGGCAATGGCTGTCTACACTGGAGAGCGATGGAAAGAACCTGATCATCCTCAGATTCAGACCTCCTTTGCCTGGTCCTTCTACATGGGATGGATTTCTGTTTTCCTCTTCCTTATCACTGGTAAGTGGAGGAAGTACAGTGTGGGGACTGTGTGAGGGACTAGACGCCTCTGGGACTATAGGCCTCCCATCCCAGGAAGAGAGAAAGACTGGGAACAGTGGCCCTTCCCTCTTGGGCCTCCAGAGCAAAGCCCCAAATTAGGAGGATGGAGAACCTGACACGAATGGGGTGGGGGAGGGGATCAGAATGAAGCTCCTCTGAAGCCTCCCTCTCTCTACCGTAACAGGAGTCCTGAGCCTTGTGGTGCATTGGGGTGCTCCCCATCCCAGCTATGAGACCTTCTCAGCTTGAGAAATCAGCCCTTGATTCACTGAATAAACCAAAAGTTGCCCATTGGGTTTATTTGTGTCTCATTCCTGCCAAGCCTAACCCTGCGTCCCCAGTCAGCTTGACTCTCTGAACCCTTCATCTGTGTCTCTTTCCCCTTCGATCTTTCATCCTATCCCAGTAACCCTCCTCCCACCCACACATCGTTTCCCATTCTCCCTTGACTGCTTGCCAGTGTCCCCCTAGAACACCTAGGATCCCACCTTCCATTACCACTCTGCCTCTTTCTCCATCTCCTAACCTCTGCTTTCGGTCAGTTTCTCAATCTTCCATTCTCCCTGTCTCCCAGAACTTCCTATGTCCTAGTCCTTCACTAGCGTTGGTCTATGCCAACATGCCTTCTCTTCCAGTCTTTCCTGAATCCCTTTTCTCCCCCATACCCCATCCTGTCTCACAGTGCCCCCCCCACACTACCTCCTTTCTTTGTTCTTCTCAGGCTTTCCCTTCTGTCTCTCCTCTTCATCCTCCTATTCTCCCCCTCTCTTCCCAATTTCTCAAGCTACCTGTCTCCAAATTTCCCCCTACTCCATTTCTCCAGTCTTCTCCTTCTTTTGCCTCTGCTCCTAGAATATCCTGTTGTGCTCCTCCTTCTCTCGTCCCAAACCCCAGATATCTCCTTAACTCCCTCATCAATTTCCCTCACATAAAGACTATTTCAGGAGTCCTTGTGTTCAACCTTCATCTATCCTGTTGCTGATCCAGCACAAACAGACTCCTCCATCTCCTCAATTAATGGGGTGTGTGTGCCTTTAATGAGGTGTAGGGGGGTTCTGGAACTCCTTCCTCATAGAGACCCTGGCCCCCTCCTCCCCCACTAACCCTCCATCTCCCCACCCCAGGCGGGAGGTGCTGGAGTAGGATGGCCGAGCTGGGTGGGAACCACGCAGGTGGGGGGTTCCCCTCAAATGGAGGGACTCACCCTGAAGAGCAGGCTAGCTGAGCTGGGTGTGAGCCACACAGGTGGGGGGTTCCCCCTAAATGGAGGGGACTTGTCCTGAGGAGCAGGCTAGCTGAGCTGGGCCTGAGCCACGCAGGTGGGGGGACAAAATGTGGGGAGGGTTCCCCCAAAGGGACCCAGGAAGAAGGGAGTGGGTGGGGAGGACCCTCTCCATGTCTGGAATCCCAGCCCTGCCACACCCCTTGGCCTGTAGCGGCCCCTGAATGGGGGTGAAGAGGAGCCTGCAGAGCGCTGGCCTGTCGCTGGGCCTCTTGGCCAACATCCTCGTTGTGCTGGCCGCCTCCACTGACTTTTGGAGTCGCTTCTCTGAGGGCCACAGTGGACTGTGGCGGGTGTGTCGGAAGCACAACTGCACTAACTCCTCTTGCGAGAGTGAGGACCACTGCAGCCCCAGAGCACTGGGGGTCCCCTTGTCCTGGACATCCCACGCCCGGGGCCTCAGCTTCTTTAACCATTAACGCTGGCTGGTCTCTGAGCTCCCTTCCAGCACCAAAGAAATCTCTGACCCCTCTCCCAACTCACTCCGTCACCACAATGGCCTGGCACTGGCCTATTAGGGCAGAGGTCCTTCACTGGGGAGGGCCCTGCCTATCGAATAGCCTCCATCCAGTCATCATCCCCTCCTCTTCCTTGCCTCTTAATCACCAAGCGGGGACGCTGAGGTCTCATGGTGGTGGTGAGGGGCCGGGAGGTGTTTGTGCTGACACCTTGCTCTCTCCCCCCTTTCCCCAGCCATGCTGGCGGTGACAGCGGCCTGTGTGGTCTTGGCCGCTGGCTCGGGCCTCGTGGCCTCAGTGCTGGGCATCCGAGTCCTGCAGGCATCCCTCAACGGGAACCTTATTCCACCCCGCGGCCGGAACGCCTGCCTAGGCTTCTTTCTGAGCGGTGAGGGGGATCGAGTCGAAAGAAACGGGCATGGGGCAAGGCCAGGACCAGATCCGGGTGGCCAGGGGGCTTTTCTGGAAGAAGTCAGGACAGGAACGGAGCCAGGCCAAGGAAAGGGGCGGTGGGGTGAGAGAGGGTGAGAGAGAGAGAGAGAGAGAGAGAGAGAGAGAGAGAGAGAGAGAGAGTGCGTGTGTGTGTGTGTGTGTGTGTGTGTGTGTGTGTGTGTGTGTGTGTGTGTGTGTGTGTGTGTCTGGAAGGGGACGCTCTGGATGCCGGCGGGGACCTAGAGAGCCAGGCAAGAGAGCAGCTTTCGAGGGGAAGTCGGGGTGTACCTAGGTCCCCCACCTCTGCTAACCCGGGGGGGGGTCTGCTGGGGCCAGCGCTGCTGCTGCTGGCAGGTATGGTGGGCTACACTGCACGGGAAGCGTGGAAGGTGGATAGCTTCTTCTCCTGGTTCTACTTCACCGCCTGGCTAGCCCTGCCCTTCTCCATCCTCGCAGGTAGTTAGGCCCAGGTGGAGATCTTAAAGTCCTACCACCCACCCCAGGGACCCCCAGGCCTATCCTCCAGTCCCTACTTCAAAGACCCGCAGTCCCCTCCCCTCTCTTCCCATCCTAGGGACTCCAAAGTCACTCAGTCCTGCGGGACATGGAACCCCCAGTCCCCCTACTTCTGAGTCACCTAGCCCCCTCTCCTCCTCGGGACCCCCAGTCCTCCTCCCTCTGAGTCACTCAGTCCCCTCTCCTTGGGACCCTTGGACATCTCCTCCTGAGTCATCTAGCCCCCTCCCTTCCTCGGTACCACCAGTCCTCCTCCCTCTGAGACCCTTAGACATCTCCTCCTGAGTCATCCGGCCCCGTCCCCTCCTCGAGTCCCCCTCCCCCCGAGTCACCTAGCCCCGTCCCCCTCCTCGGGACCCCCAGTCCCCCTCCCTCTGAGTCACTCAGTCCCCTCTCCTCCTCGAGACCCTTAGACATCTTCCCCCGAGTCACCTAGCCCCCTCCCCTAGGCTTCTGCTTCCTCTTCGCGGACATGATCCTGCAGAGCACAGACGCCATCAGCGGCTTCCCCGTGTGCTTGTGAGCCCAGCGCGGCTGGGCCCAGGATCTAGGCTAATAAAGGCGCTTCCCTCCCCCAGTCTCGCTGGATTTCCCTCCTCCTGAAAGCCTTCCGGGAAAAACCCTGGTGGGAGAGGTCCAGAAGGGATGGAGTGACTTACAGTATGGAACCGGGGGAAAGGGGGAGGAAAAGACTGAGCCCCGCCCTCTCCGTGTGACCCCACCCCCTCTTCCCGGGGTCCCAGCCCGGCCCGCATCCTTCCGGACGCGCTTCCGCACATGCGCAAAAGGCACCGTTGCGGAGGGGGGGGAAGACGGGAGGGGCTTCAGACCTTGGACCCTCGTTTCGGTCCACTCTACCCGCTGTGTACCCTTTGCCCTCCATTGGCGTCCAAGCCTCCAATCCAGCACACACCTACTGCCTTCATTGGCCCGTGGTCGAGCGCCCCTCCCTAAGCTTCCAAGGCATTTGGTGGCTGATTGGGGGACAGGCTGCGAGGGGCGGGATGATCTCATAACGTATTTTCTGATTGGTGGAGGGCGGCGGGGCTGTGTGGGGAGGAGGAGTGTGGGGTAAAAGGTAGCGCAGCAGTTTTGGAGGCGGGGAGAGAAGAAAGGCGTAGGAATTAGTGGCTGATTGGTGAAGGCCGGAGTCAAGGGGCGGAGTCTACAGACAGCGCCGATCTCTGGTTGGTGAAGAGCTGAGAGGGCGGAGCCCTCGAGCCGGCACAGGCGTTGGCCCAAAGCGTTAGACCCGGCAGCGGCGGCGGCCTCAAGATGGCGGAGCTGCGCGCGCTGGTTGGAGTCAAGCGGGTCATAGACTATGCTGTGAAGGTGAGCGCGACCTCAGACCTCGTCCCCTCCCCTCTCCTTGACGGTACCAGCCTGACACAGGGGAGCGAACGCGCAGGGTGGCATTAAGGCCAAGCGAGGGCAAAGGTCGAGGGGCTGACCTTTCACCTCGATGTCTCCCCTCACCCATTCTCCAGGGTTGACCCCTGTACCCCCTTTCACTAGTTGGAACCCTGAGGCTCAGCGTGGGTGAGCCACGAGCCAGAGATTCCGCGCCCCTCCTCCTCCCCCCACGCTGTGGCTCCGGGAGGGGCGGGACTCTAAGGGGGCGTGTTTAGAGATCACCTAGTCTGATGGGGGTGGGGTGCAGGAGAGGGGGTCACCCGGGGAGGGACTCCCCTGGTTGGGGTGCATCAGAGGGGTCACCCAGGGAAGGACTGCCCTGCGCAGGACGATGTCATGAACCAGGGAGGAGACACAGACAAGGGGTAGTCTGGGAGGCTTCTAGGACAAGTAGGCTTGGGAGCTGGCCTCCTTCTCCCCCCACCCCATTTCAGCAGGGGTCAGAGGGAGGGGGCCGCAGCTGCCTTTCTGACTGTCCTTCAGACTGCCCTTTCCCTGCTCCCCTCAGATCCGAGTGAAGCCAGACAAGACCGGTGTGGTGACAGATGGGGTGAAGCACTCCATGAACCCCTTCTGTGAGATCGCGGTGGAGGAGGCTGTGAGGCTGAAGGAGAAGAAGCTGGTGAAGGAGGTGATTGCTGTCAGCTGTGGCCCCAAGCAGTGCCAGGTGAACCTTTGACCTCAGGCCGGTGGGGGGAGGTGGAGCAGAGAGGGCCGTGGCAGTGATCACATCGATCTCTTCACCCCCAGGAGACCCTTCGCACGGCTCTGGCCATGGGGGCTGACCGTGGCATTCACGTGGAGGTGCCCGAAAGCGAGGCAGAGCGGCTGGGGCCCCTCCAGGTTTCCCGAGTGCTCACTGCTTTGGCCCAGAAAGAGAAAGCTGGGCTGGTACTGCTGGGGAAGCAGGTGAGAGCCCGAGCCAGCCTTTTCCTTCTCCCCTTTCTGCACCTGCTTTCTTGTGTTGGTCACTTTTGCCCCACTTTGCCATTCTTTCTCTCCTCTATATTTTTCTTCCCTCTCCCTTTCAAGGCCAAGTTCTCCAGGGTTAGGAATCATCCAGAAGTCCCAGGTCTGAGTGTCTGAGGGATGGCCTGTCCTGTGCTGCACTGCCCTCATAAGAGTAGTGGGAGGAGGAGCCTTTGCACTCCAGGGAGCTCCCCCTGGGTGAACAGCAGCAGCATAGGCTTCGAAAGTTCTTTCCCCTCTTGGGGCCTCAGTTTCCCAGTTTGTAAATGGAAGTCAGAGAAGATGACTTCTCAGGACCCTTCCAGCTCTTAGGTTCCACGTTCTAGCATTACCTTGCCCCCTAGCAATTTCCTGCGTCTCCCCTCCTCAAAGGCCATCGATGATGACTGTAATCAGACTGGACAGATGACAGCTGCCATGCTTGACTGGCCTCAGGTGAGCCTCTGGGAATGCAATGCCAAATGTGGGAGAGTGAGTCCATACCCTGAAATTCCCTTGAACATCCCTTATCCCTCTGTGTGGTGCCCTCCACTTGAGATGCCCTAAAGGCCCATCTGAGCCCTCTGGGACACTTTGGGTACATTCTGCTACCCTGGTCCCCTTCTGGACTCTAGGCAGTTCCTGGATCACACAGCTCCCTGTGACTTCCTTCCCCCCAGCTCCCCTCAGACTCCCTGTGTCCCTACCCTGTCCCCAGCTCTCTTCAGACTCCTTGTAATGCCCCCACTTCCAAGTTCCCTCCAGGAGACATCCCACACCCCCAACACACACCTCAGCCCTCCCAGGTAACAAGTTCCCTCCTGCTCTCCAGGGCACATTTGCCTCAAAACTCACACTAGAGGGGGACAAGGTGACAGTGGAGCGAGAGATTGATGGTGGGCTTGAGACAATTCGCCTCAAGCTGCCTGCTGTGGTGACTGCTGACCTCCGGCTGAATGAGCCCCGATATGCCACTCTGCCCAATATCATGGTAAGCGGGGGCAGGCGACTCCCAGACGCTCAGGCTGGCCCGGTCTGAGCCATCCTACACACACTCACCCTTCTCAGTCTGTACAGACACACACACACACACACACACACACACACACACACACACACACACACACACACACCCCTCCCCCCCAGACCTTTCAGACTTCCTGATCCTCTTGACAGCGCAGGACTACGAGGCAGCCAGGGCGTTGGGAGGCCACGAATCCCAGCCTCCATCGTCCCCCGTCTGTGGTCCTCCAGCCTTTGCCTGTTCAAGTCTACCATTGTACTTACAGTTAGTGCCCATCGGCACTAGAACATGTTTCCTGAGCTCCAGCAATCATGGTGAATCCTCCACTTTGAAGCTCTTCCCTCTCTGATGCTCTGCCCCAAACAGAACAATTCTCTCCCTCTCTGCTCTTCAGACATCTGACGAGAGAGCTCCAAAGGTTACAGAGCATGTAGACCCATTATTTGCAGTAGGGGCTATTTGTTTTCCCATTTTACAGGGAACAAATTGAGTCCCATTGGGGCCCACAGCTGATAAACGTCCCAGGTACAACTTCACTCTGGGACTCCAGGCTCTGATCTCAGGTCTCATTCCCTGCTCTCCTCCCCTTCCCTTTCCTACCACCTCCAAATGTGGGGTGGGTCCAGCGGGCTGGGTTTGGGGGTGGCGGTGATGGGAGCCCCCTGGAGGAGGGGCTTCTGCCTTTCTGCTGCCTTGGTGGGAGTGGGAACACCAGTTCTGCCCCTCCCAGAATGACAGAGCCCAGACTTTCCCTCTTAATCTTCCTTCAGAAAGCCAAAAAGAAGAAGATTGAAGTGGTGAAGCCTGGGGACCTGGGGGTGGACATGTCCTCCCGCATTTCTGTGCTCAGTGTGGAGGATCCACCCCAGCGCACAGCAGGGATGAAAGTGGACACCACTGAGGACCTTGTGGCCAGACTGAAAGAGGCAGGGCATGTCTGAACTACCCCTCCCCCCAATAAATTTGTGGCACCCTCCCCCCTTTGCCTCCTCTCTGCAGCCTTGTTGTGGACTTGCCCTTTGGAAACACTTGGTTCAGGAAGTCTTCCAGAATTCTTCCTGACCCCATCCTCTCTACACATCATGGCACTCATTCACCGGCTTCCAGAGGGGCCGCTCCCTTCTCCCTCGGTCTCTTGGACCACAAACTCCTGGAGGCTTTTAGGGCTTCCCAGGGACTAGGGCTTTGTTCAGTAGCTGGGAAATCCTGGAAACCAGGGCTGTTTCCCCTTCAAACCCTGGACCCTTCTGGCCAAGGTTATTGCCCAACACTGTGCTCACTAGGGTTTTCACACAGGTTGAAGGAAGTGTGGAGAGGGGAGGGCATCGAGGAGAATCGTCAACAGTTCTATTCATAAATCCATGGGCTGTGTCCCCTGGGTTGGTGCGGGCTCCCCACCCAAGAAGCCGCTTGGCCTGTCAGACCCGTCTTGGCTCCAGGAGGGTTGGGAGGCCGGACCTACCCCTGGCTTTTTGCCTTTGACAACATGGCCACCCAGGGGCCTCAGCCTCTCCAGCAGCTGCTACTCCTGTTTCTGGGTGAGCACCCCTCCATCCCTACCTCCTAAAACCCGTGGCAAACGGGAAAGCTTTACCTAGACCCTCGTGGGTGGTGGCCCTTTCTGGCCCTTCACAGTGGGAGACTTACAGGAGGCCTCACTGCTGGGGGAATTGTTTGTCTCAAGGTCCTTGTTTTCCAGGACCCTTGTCTGTAAGGGACAGCTCTACCTTGTGCCTACTCACTGCACCTCTCTGGGAGAGTTGGGTAGACCTTTCATCCTGAGGGCCCTCCTGAGAGTTGGGCTTTCTCTGTAAGCGTTCCATAACCTTAGGATTTTTTCGGGGGGAAAGGGGTGTGGGGGAAGCCTTGAGATCCTACCCTGGTCCTTTTTTCTCTTTTGCCTTTGAAAGACCTTTATCCCCTTTTCTGAGGTCTCTTCTCCACAGACTCCCCAGTTATGGGAGAGCCTTCTCCCCACTCCCTAGGCCTCTTCCTCAAAACACCTTATCCCGGTGGTGTGAGACCTGCAGCAGCAGGGCCTCTGCCTCCTTCCACCACCCGTCTCTCCCACTGTCCTTTTTCTCCCAAATAAAACATCCAGTCTCGGGCGTGGGAACGTCATCCCCTGCAGCCCTTGGTGGCAGAATTTCACCTTCAGTTCCCTCTCTTGGAGTGAGACTCTCCTCTCCCAGCGGCTTTCGTGGGAGTAACTCAACAGTTCTGAGTGGAAAAGCCTCCCCAGCTACGGCCCTGGGTGGGAACGCCTCCTCTCCTGGAGCCCCCAGAGAGAAAACGCCGTCTCCTACAGTTCAGGATTTGAAAGAGCCGCCTCTCCAAGTCCCTTCTGGGTGGTCCAGCCCGCGGATTGCTGGGGGTCCCTTGTCCGTGCTCGTGGGCTCTCCCATCTCCCTACGCTTAGCTCCGGCTCCAGCCCTGGGCCCACCCAGTCCGGTCGTGGTTTGGCGTCGGGGAACCACAGTGCTGGCGGCTGGGACCCTGGGGAGCAAAGCCGCCCCACCCAGCCTAGCCCCAGACTACCGGACCCGGCTCCGCTTTGACCAGGCGACGGGTGGTCTCGATCTGGAGCAGGCAGAACTGGCTGACAGCGGCCACTATACTGCGGAGCTGATCCACGCGGGGCGCGAACGGGAGCTCCGGAACGTCACAGTCTACGTGTACGGTGAGGGGGCAGAGGAGTGCTGAAATCCGACAGACTGGCGGGCTGTGTGGATACAGCCTGGGACGAGGGGAGCTGACCCCGGTCCCTTCCCCGCTCCGGGTTTCAGGTTACTGATTTGTAAAAGGAGAGCACCAGCCCTACCCGGCTCCACCAGTTAGTGAGAACAGGCATTGGGGAAGAGCTTTCTGGTTCACAAAGGTCTTTATGCACATTATTTCATTTGATCCTCAAACAAGCCTGTGACAGTAGGCGCGCTTATCAGGATCTTACAGATGAGAAAACAGGCTGAGGTGACGCCAGGACTCCCCGGGAGTGGGGGGGAAAGGGGGAGGATGACGGAGGCGCCTAAGTCCGGTCGCTGTCTGCCAAATCTCTTGCGCAGAGCCCCTGCCACGATTAACGGTGGCACCCGCGGACCCAGTGACGGAGGAGGGGACTCCAGAGCTGCGGCTGCGCTGCGTGGGAGCCCGGCCCAGTCAGGGCCAACTCAGCTGGAGCCAGGGGGAGCGGCCCCTGGAAGCGGGGCCCGGAGACGGTGAGGGTCCGGCCCGGCTGAGGACCGATGGAATCGACCTGGTCATCACGCGTCCGAAGAGGACAGACCAGGCCAACTACACGTGCCGCGTGCAGAGCCCCTTCGGGGCCAGTGAAGCCACGGCGGCCGTCACCGTCCTGTGTAAGCGAGGGGCACAGCTGGGAATCAGACATCTGGGTCCCCGAGGAATGGAAGGCGAAGGGGGAGGGAGGAGCCGAGGCGAAGAGAATGCCTGGATCCCCGGCAGGGGGCGGGGCGGAGGACATCTGGAGTAGGAAGGGCAGGTGCCCAGGGGCCCTGAAGGTGGGGTGCAGTTCCGGGGCTGTGACGCCCGGGTCGGCGGTCCTGACGCCTAGGTCCGGGGGTTGCGGGTTCGGAGAGGACGCTGATGTCTCGCCCGCCCGCAGACGGCCCGGATCCCCCGGTCATCACCGTCTCCTCGGACCGCGACGCAAGCCCCGCCCGCTACGTCTCGATGGGCAGCAATGTGACCCTGCGCTGCGATGCCGCTTCCAGGCCGCCGGCCGAGCTCTCCTGGAGCCTGGCAGACCCACGGGAGGCTGCCGTGCCAGCGGGGCCTCGACTCCTCCTGCCCGGCGTGGGGCCAGCCCACGCAGGAGCCTACGCCTGCCTCGCGGCCAATCCACGCACAGGACTCCGGCGCCGCGGGCTGCTCAACCTCACCGTGGCCGGTGCGGCCCGGGTCCGAGGGCAGGCCGGGACAGGGAACGGGGTTCTCAGCTAGAGGAGACAGGGAAGGGTGAAAGCGGGGAGGTTCTGAGCTGAGGGGGAGAAGACGGGGGGCGGGGCTAAGAGGAAGGGGCGGAGCAGGGGGAAAGACGGGGCTTGGAGGAGAGGGCTGGGGGGCGGGCACAAAAGGCGGGTCTAAGATGAAGGAGGCGGGGCCTACTGAGAGCGCAGGCGGGAGCGGGGAAGTGACAGGCTTGGAGGAGCGGGCTGGGGGCGGGGCTACCTCTGTGACTCCGCCTCTCCCGCAGCCCCGCCTCCTGGTTCCCCACGCTGTTCCATTCAAGCCTCTCCGGGAGACCGGAGCCTGCTCCTGGGCTGCACGTGGCCCGGGGGCGTCCCTGGAGCCTCGGTGCAGTGGACGGGGCTGCCCCCGGACGTCCCCGCGAGCCCCTCTCCCTCCTCGCTGTTCGTCTCGGTCCCTGCGCGCCCGCAGCTCAGCGGACTCACCTTCACGTGCCTCGGGCGCCACCTCGCGGCCACGAGGAGCTGTAGCGTCACCCCCAGTGAGTGGGGGCGGGACTTCCGCCTTTGGGAACCAGGGGCGGGACTTCGCCTCTACAGACCGGTACCCGGCTTTTGGGTCAGAGCTAAACGGGCCTTTTCCCAAGTGCAAGGAAAAAAATCTTTTGTCTCAGAAGGTTTTCCTCTTAATTCTTAGAGACCTCCCCATTTACCCCGTGGTGGGGGTGGGACTTCCTCTTCTTTCCCCCAGAAAAGAGGTGGAACTTCCTCTTATGGCTAAGAAAGGTCCTAGGCTCTTGGGTAGAAGAACCTTCCTTTCCCCAGGCGACAAGGAGTTAAATTTGCCCCTTTTTCCATTTAACTTTAGAGTTAAGTGTACTTTTCTTTTTACCATAGGGGAAAGGATGGGACTTCCTTTTTTCATTTGCCCACCAGGGAGGGCGGGACTTCCTCTTCCTCGGTGGCTTGGGGTGGCCCCAGTATACAGCTGTGGGCCTGGAGTCAGGAAACCTGGAATTCAAATCCAGCCTCAGATACCTCCCAGCTGTGTGACCCTGGGCAACTCAACCCTGTTTGCTCAGTTTCCCCAAGTGTAAAATGGGGATAATAAAAGCACTCATCTCCCAGGGCTGATCAATTGAAATTGTGTTTGTCAAGTGCTTTGTGAACCTGAAATGCTAGCTATTAGCTTTATGGGAGTGGTTTTCTTGACTCTGCTTTTTCTCCCCAGAGGCCCCTGAGGAAGTGCTGCTGAAGCTGAAAACTGAGAAGTCCACTTCTGGGGAGGCCCTGGTGACCCTGGAGGCCACAGGCTGCCCTCCACCAGCCAGGGTGGCCTGGGCTCGAGAGGGACGGCCACTGGCTCCCGGGGGTGGGGGCCGCCTGAAGTTGAGCCCCGATGGCCATAGGCTTCTCCTTGGCAACTTCAGCTTGGAGCATGACGTGGGAAACTACTCCGTGCTGTGCAGTGGGGCCCTTGGGGCTGGTGGGAACCGGATCACCCTCACTGGTCAGCTCCACAGGGATCCCAGAGTCCTGAATCACAGCTCTCTCCATTCAGTGACCCCAGTCCTATTTTCAAGGCTCCTGCCCAATCATTGGCCCGTGGGTCCTTGTTCCCGTCCCTGCCCTTTTAAGCATGCAGGTGTCCGGATCCACCACGGATCCCCAGTTCTGCCTGCTTAGGAGTCTAAGGACCTGAATCCATTCTTTCTCCTCCCCTTCTTGTATAGGGCCTTCCATCTCCTCTTGGCGGCTACAGCCTGCTGATGGGGCGGCTGTCTTGACGTGGGATGTGGAACGTGGCTGTGTAGTCAGTGGCTTTGAGGTGCAGGCACGGACAGAGAAACCGGAAGCAGGGGCCACAGGCCTGAGTGGAGGGGCCTGGACGTCCTTGCTGCTCCTGGGGCCCAGGGAACGCTCGGCTGTAGTGCTCCTGCCCTCCCAGCCCCCAGGGCCTTGGAAGCTTCGGGTGCTGCCCACTCTGGGCAGTCAGCCTGGGCTTCCTTCCTCCAGCCGGAGCTACTGGGCTGGTGAGATTGGGGGTCTGCGTGCCTGTGTGTGCACAGTTGGGTACCTGAGGCAGGCTGGAATATCTGACTCCTGGGTAGCATCCTCAGTCCTGTCTCCCTCTCTACACCAGGTCCTATCCTGGGCCCCGGGGCCATTGCGGGCATCGTGCTCGGCTCCCTGCTGGCTCTGTCCCTCCTTGCAGCACTGCTGGTCCTGCTTGGGTGCTGTGCCTGTCGGTTATGGGGTGAGCAAGGCATGGTTCAATAGCTTTTGAATTGATGACTGATGAACAAGTCACGGTGACCAGTGAGGTCATGGCCAGTGGGGCGGGAGCAGATGAGAGCTCTGCCCAGAATGAGAAAGCAGATAAGAAACTTGGTCAATGAAGAGGGAGCAGAACTATGGCCAGTGGGAACCGAACAGACAAAAACCTTGACCGGGGCAGAGGAGAGGAGAAGATGCAGCTTTGGTCAACGATAAAGGTGACCACTAGAGAAGGAGCAGAGGAGAACCAGGCCCACATTGGATTAGATCAGGAGTGGGGAACCTGCTGCCTCGAGGCCACATGTGGCGCCCTAGGTCCTCAAGTGCGGCCCTTTGACTGAATCCAAACTTCACAGAAGAAATCCCTTTCATAAAAGGTTTTGTTCTGGAAAACTTGGACCCAGTCAAAAGGCCACACCCAAGGGCCTGGAAAGTCACTTGTGGCCTCCAAGCAACAGGTTCCCCACCCCTGGGTCAGATCATATTTTTGGGCAGTGGGAACACAGAAGAATTTGGAAGATAAAAGGGAATGGGATTTCCAGTCAATAGGAACAGAGGAAATGGATGTCTTATGGCCTGGGAAACAGAAGCCAGTTGGACCTAAAAGGGGCACATTGAAGAAAGCTCATTCTGGACCCTCCCCCCCCTTTACTTACTTCCCTTGGCCAGTGTGAGGCCAGACTTAGCTGTGGGCAGTGAGCGGGAGGTGTGGGAGGTCCAGCTAGCCAGTCACATACTTTCTCCTTTCCCTTTGACTGTGTAGGAAACAACATGAAGAAGCCCCTGATCTTCCTCCCTGCAACCTTCACCCCAGAGAAGAAGACACGGAGTGTAACCTCTGTGGGGGCCCCACAATCTTCCCCCAGTGGTTTTGCCATGGAACCCAGTCCCACCTGGGCTTGTCCTGTGAGTAGATGTAGAGTGAGATGTGCTTGACTGTTCAGAAGGGGGCAGTGAGAGGGATTATTTTTCTCTCCACCAGGTGGAAGGGTAAGACTCCCCACCATAAAAGTATGTTAAGGTGGGAGATGTCTGACATAAAGAAAGGCGGGTGGTTTTCGCAGTTATGGGACCTGGATTCAGACGCCAGCTCTGCCACTCTGCTACCTGTGTGACCTTGAACCAGTCGCTTACCCTGGCTTCTAGGGTTGAATTAATGAACCCATATGGTTCTAAGGCTCCCTTAAAAAGAACGGCATCATGAGGTGGCACTTCCTGTTTCTTTCTATGGTAGGGAAGGACTTCCTTTGTCCCACTAGGTGGGGTGGGACTTCCCGTTTCCCCCTTCTTTACAAGACATCAGTGAGAATTCCTATTTGTGCTCACCCGTGTGGGGCTCTCCTCTTTCTCTGCCAAGATGCAGTTGGGGAGAAGTGAAGTAAGGAGACGTAGATAGGCGCTTGATGGACCATAAGATCGCCTCTTCTTCCTTCCTGCCCTAGGCCCTGGAGTTCGGCTTCCCACCTTTCTTGCTTCTTTCCTTCCAGGTGCTGGTTCCCAGCCAGGTCACTGCTGCCAGCCCCAAGGGAGTCCACCGAACAGTGCGGTCAGCCACACAGGTGTGAAGAGCGGCAGCCAGTGTGAGCTCCGAGGACACTGAACTGCCCAGAGCTCTGGGTGCTAAGGAATTCCTGTTTGAGCCCAGCAGAGGATGAAGGGTCTCAACTTTGCACAACTAAGCTTGGGACTCTGATTTGCACAGTGGAAAAGTCAGGGATCTCAAGTCTCATGATTCCATCCAGTCCTCCAGTAAAGGAGACTTCCTGTCTTGGCACAGCTGAGGGGGTGGGGCTTCCTGCCCTTTCCTCCTTGAAGAACCAAGCTTAGAGGTCTGACAGGGCCAGACCTCCTCTGTTGTTCATTCCAGAGCAGGAAGTGGCCTTTCTACTGGAAACGAAGGACTGATTGCCATGGTGGGGTGGGACTTCCTGATTTGGCATGGTGGAGGGGCAGAACTTGCCATGTGGCTGCTTGTAAGTTGGCGGGAGTTTTCTGGAGGTTGAACTGGGCTGGGTGTGTGTGAGTGTACCTTTGGTGGACAGCAGTGAGGAATAAAACAGCTTTGTGGACCTCTGGGTACTTTGGGAGAAGTTGGGGATGAGAAGATGGGGATCCCCAACCAAGACAAGGGGTTGGAGACCAGATGCCAAGGTCTCTCAAAGCGAGTGATTGGAGCCCAGTTATCTGGTATAGGGATGTCACAGACAGGGTTTTGGAAAAAGGTGTTTATTGGTGTGGCGGTTTCAACACTCCCCATGGTTTGCGACACACTGGATCCCAGGGTCCTTCCCCCACCCCCACCCTATCGCTCCTCCCCTCCCCCCCTTCAGGACCCTGGGAATGGAAGACGATGTGGATGGGGCCCATGCCCCCCTCTGAGGTACAGTCCCTGTCCCTCCCTGATCCAGCCCACCCCCCCAGACCCTCCTTAGCCCTGGCCAGCTCTGAGTGGTATGGACATTGAGGAAGTGTTGATATAGTGGACTCCCCCTCCCTCTGCCTGAGTGGTGGGTTTGGGGGTCTCTAGTGGGACTAGATAGCAGCAGGCCTTCTGTTAGATCCTCTCTGTCCCTTTGCAAAACCACCACCTCGGGGGTAGAAACGATGGGTTGGGCCCAGGGGGCCAAACCCAGAGCAGAAGGTAATTAGAGCTGGGGGGAGGGGACGGGGGGGGAACTATTGCTGATCACAGTCGCTGGTGGGTGCAGGTACACGTGGGTGAGGTACAGTCGGCCGACTGGGCTTCAAGCCGAGACTGGAGGGGCGAGAGCTGGCGCCAGCAGCCAGTAGACAGGGCCAGGGACGCAGGCAAGCAGCTAAGGGGGGCAAAGGGGTGGGGACATAGCACTGAGGCAGACAGCTGAAGCGGAGGAGGCCACAGCTACCAGCCTGACAGTAGGATGGAAGCACCAGTCGGCCTGGGGGGAAGGCCAGAAAATGGGCGTGGGGGAGGGCAGGGGGACACCCAGAAACGTGACAGGCAGCCTTGGTTGTTGGGAGAAGCCCAGAGATGACAGTGCCTCCCCCAACTTTCCCTTCCCTGGGGCCAAAATCCAACACAGAAGGGGATGGGGCCATTCCCAACAGGTGAGAAAGCTAAAGCTAAGCCTGGTGGTGGGGGCCAGGGACCCCTGCAGCCAGTGCAATCACCTAAAGCTGGCATGCAGAGGTGAGAGGCAGCCTGTGGCTGGCAGGGGTGACGGGGTACCCAGAGTGGGTCAAGGCCAGGGCTGAGGGGGTCAAGGGCAACTGGGGTACAGTCAGACACGTGAACGGGTGACAACAATGGCTGTAGAAACGATGCATAATTTTGCGTTTATCCCTCACAGTGATGGGTTCTCTAAGGATCTCTCCTCTTCCTCCTCCTCTGCCCGGGACTCTGGGCCTTCCTCACTGGCTCTCTCTCCAGGCTGCTGGCTCACTCCCTTGCTAGGGCTCGATCTCCGTCAGCCTCGGCTCCTACATGCCTCCCCACCACAGCCAGCCCAGGGCAGAGAGCAGGGCTAGGGGTCCAGGGGGCCGCGAAGCTGCATTCTCCAGGGAGCCTGGGCCTGAAGGCCGAAGGGAAGGGGGAGGAGAAACAAGGTCAGGAGGAGTGGAGGCACTTCAGTGCCTTACCCCCCATTTTCCTGACTCCCTCTGCATTGGATACTGTCCTCCCGCCAGGACCATTCTCACTCTCTTAGTCTGCAACCGAAGACCTTCCTTCCATCCTCCCAGTCTCCAGATGTGTGATTCTCCATGTCTCTGTCCTCCTTGGTCCTCTCTCCCCACCCCCCACCCCATATGTTTGCTTTTTCTTGTCGCCGTTTCTTGCTTTTCTCAGACTGTTCCTCCTCTTGCCCTCTGCCCTCTGCTTGTCTTTTTCATGAGCTGGGTCTTCTCTGGCCCCTGATTGTTGACTTTTTTCTCTACTTGTGTCCGCTCTTCATTTCTGGCTCCCCAAGTCCTGCCATTTCTTTTGTCTTTCCCTGTCTTTGTCAGACTCTCTCCCTGTTTCTCTCTCTTTCCACTCATTTCTTGTTCTTTTCTTTCCTTTTTTTTAGGTGTGGCTCCTCGTCTCTGTCTCTGCATCTCACTCTGTTTCTTAATCTGCTCCTAGCCTCTGTCCCCCATTGTTCGTGCCCCTCTTCCTCTCTCTACAGATCCCGTGTCTCTCCCCCCCCCCCGCTTCTAGGTCTGGGGGCTCTCTGTCCCGGACTCCGGCCCCTGTCCCCAGCTCTAGCCTGGGCACACTCACGCAGAAGGCGCATGGAGGCACTGGCAGCCCCAAGCCTGTTAGCCGCTCGGCACGTGTAGTTCCCATAGTGGCGGCCGCTCACGTTGGCGAACAGCAGCATGGAGCGGGTCCTCTCGGTCTGCACCTTCAGTCCCTCAGCCGCGCCGCCCCCCAGCCTGCGGGCAAGGTCGTCAGTCCCTCCCTCCTTCCTTCTGTGCCTCCCCCGCACCCTTGCAGCTAGTGTGTGTGTGTATTTGGTTGAACCTCCACACCCCTTTACAAACCCAGGACTGGATACCCCACCACCTCTACACTCCCTATGTTGGGGTGGAGGGACTGGCACCCATATCTTTAATTTCCTCCAGCCTAGAGAAGGACTCTCTCAGTATCTGGCCGTTCACAGCCCACCTCTCCCCACTCTGACCACCAGGAGCACTCCCTCCTGCCCCGTCCCCGCCCCCCATTCCTCTCTCTGAGCCCCAGAAGAAGCCCAAATCCTTCACATCCCGACCCAAGACCCAAGCCCAGCCCTCAGTGATCCTCACTCTGCTCCCCTCACCTGCCCACCTCTCCCTTCCTCACTTGGGGACCCACCCCTTAGAAGGCCTAGTCCCATTCCGTCTTTCCTTACTGTTTGTCATCTTTGAACCACTGGAAGTCTGCGGGGGGCACGGCCATAGCCTCACAGCGGAGCAGCGCAGTGCGCCCCACTGCTGTCCGGGCGCTCGTCACATCGGTGATGGTCGGAGGGTCTGAGGCAGAGTAGGGGACGGGGCTGGATAACCCGTTCTGACTTCGAACTCTCCCGACTCCCAGCCTAGCTGTTTTCCACTGCAGTCCCAGACCTGCCAGTTCAGGGACCCAGGCGGGCCTCCCCTAAGCCCGCGCCCTCGGGGACCGCGGAGTCCAGACGTCAGCCCCCTCCCCTTGGGGACTCAGGCTTCTTGCCTTCCCCCTAGCCCTTCCTCTTTGGGGACAAAGGGCTCACAGTTAACAGTGACGGGCACTCGGCGGCTGTCGGGGGCCGACGCCACGCCATTGTGGGTCACGCACTCGTAGTCCCCGGCCTGACTTCGCCTGATGTCCGAGATTTCCAGGATCTCACCCTCCGATGTGAAGCCGTCTGAGGGAGGAGGGGCAGGGCGGACACAAACACACTTAAACACGGGACGACACGGGTACAACACGGACACATCAGCAGGGGCACAGCGGAGGGAGGGGGCAAACAGGGGCTGGGGACCCGGGGGTCCTGGAATCATTGAGTGGGAGAGGGCGTCGTCTATGAATTGAGGTACTGGGTCAGAGACTACGGTAATGACCTAGGTGAAGACCCGGGGTCGGAAAAGCCAGGGAGGGTACGTCTGGGGACTTAGAGAATATGGTGATGGGGAAGTGGGCTCCGAGGACTGCTAGTCTCTGAGAGATTTCAAGAGGTTCTGGGCCTAGTGACCAGGTATCAGAGCCAGAAGTCTCCCGTAAATGACTCAGACTTATTGGAGCTTATGTGCTCTTCGAATATTGATCGCAAAGGTCTTCCCAGCTCAAGCATTCTGTGGGCTGTGTTCTAAGAACCCATCCAGTTCTGACATTTCAAGTTGAAAGCACCCACCTGCATCTGAGGATCTGACAGTCTCTGTTCTAAGCTCTCTGCCAGATCTCACAGTCTGTTCTAAGAACTCTTCCAGATCTGACATTTCATATTCTGGGGTCCCTCCTACTTCTGACATTAGGTGTTCCGAGAAGCTTTCTAGTTCTGACATTCTTTGCTCTAAGCTCCCTCCCAGCTCTGACATTCTCTGTTCTAAAAATCAAATAGGAAAAAGCTTGTACAGTATCTTACAAACCTTATGGTTTCGTGTGAGATGCAGCATATAATAGTGAATAGAGAGCCAGCTCCTTAGAGTCAGGGAGACTTGGGTTTAAGTCTTGCCTCCCACCCAGATTAGTGACACAAGTCACTCAACCTTTGAAGCACATGGGTGGTACAGGGATAGACTCCTCGGACTCAGGAAGAGCTGAAGTCAAATATAGCCCCAGACAGTTCTTAGCTGTGTGACCCTGGGCAAGTCACTGCACTACTGCCTGCCTCAGTTTCCTCATCTGTAAAATGGGGGTAATAATAGCACCTACAGCCCACCAGAGTTGCCATCCAGATCATATTTATAAAGTGCTTTAAAAATCCCTAAAAGGGTCGTGCAAATGTTAGCCATCATTATGACTGATAGTCCTAGCCAGCTAAGTGAAATCATAGATCCTTGGAGTGTTCAGCTGTTATTACAGTTATTGGTGGGATTTTATTCTCCTTTTCCCCCTATGATTCCTCCTAAGTTCTAAGGAGCCTTCCAGTTTTTTTTTTTAAATTTTTTTATTTTCTATGATTGCTCCCAGCCCTGCCATTTTATGTTCTGTGGTTCTTTCCACCTCAGGAATATGGAAACATATTCTAAGGCTCTAGTATTCTGCTTTAAGGTCCAAAGATGTGAGGTCCAACAATTACCTTGCAGCTATTAGATTTGAGAGAATAGTTTACATTCTCTTCTAGTGTGGATCACATAGGACAGATTCTGCTTGATCAAATTTTGCTGAGTTGAATCCAATGGGTTGGGTCCCTGGGGTCTCTCTTACCATAGGTAGAAGGTCTAAGGATCAGAGATCAAATTTTGGCTTGACATAAGGGTACATTTCCTAACAATCAGAGCTCTCCCAAAGGGAATGGGATGCCTGGTGCAGTGAGTTCCCCATCAGTGGAAGGCTTCAAATGAAGAATGGATGGCCGCCATCATCCTGGGATCTTCAACTCAACAAAAATGTCTTAAGTACCTATCTAGGTGCAGAGCACCTTGCCAGGCACTGGGCTTTTTGCTAAGCACTGGCTGGGTGTCAACAGAGGGATCTGTGCTCAGGTATAGGTGGGATTGGATGCCTTCTGAGATTTCCAGTCTCTTATTCCATGATCCTAGCCAGTAAATACTTAATGCTTGACTGATGGGCTGGAGAAGACTATAGCTAGATCATCCTAGAATCAGACTGTTGGATCTGGGCAGGCCCTTAGGTAATGAACTTGAGATCCACAGGGAGGGGTAGAAACTGCCCAATGGACCACATATCAGGGACATTGCAGAGGCAATCCCTTTTTAAGTATGTGTTGAATTAAATGCCCTTTTGAGCTCCTTTCCAACTCTGGGTAACTGTGATACTTTTTCCTTCAGGGCACCCCATCCTCCTACTCTCCAAGGTGGAAACCTTAGGGTCATCCTGGGTACCTTCCTCTTTCTTGACTTCCCAAATCCAATCACCTGTCAAGTATTAGCCACCCTACTACAATTGCGTCACTTGCATTTGTCCCCTTGTCTCCACTTACCTGGTGCTAGGGGGTGAAGGCTCTTTGCCTCTTGTTTGGATTTCTGTAATAGCATAGAAAGCCATCTTCTTGCACCCATCCCCCCCTCTTTCCTCTAGACTGGTTCCTGTTGTAATCCTGGTGTTCCCCTACTCAAAAGTGCTCAGAGGTTGCCTGTTGAGTACAGTCTCAATATTGACATTCAATGGCCCTCCACAATATGGGTTGCAACTATACCTTGCCCACTTTATCTCATCCCATTCCTCCAGGTACTTCCTCCATATCTGGAAGGTCCTCTCCCAGTTCCCTGTCCAGATATTGGTTGAAGTTTCTTCCTTCCTTAAAGTTCCAGATCAGATAGCATCTCCTCTATGAAACCTTTCCTAATACCCCTCTCCCACAGTGAAATATATCTCTCTCCCCTCAAATTTCTTTGAACATTCTTTGGATCTGTCCCTTTGCCCTCATCTCATTCTCCTTTGTATAGCTTCTTGGTGTGCATACCTCTCTCACCTATTGGATTGCCAGTTTTTGGAGGACAGGGCCCATGTTCTTATCTATTATTACACATATTACCGGTATCTAATGGAGGGCTTTGAACCTCCTGAGTGCTCAAAAGCTCACGGATCTAGAGGCCAAAGGGGCCTCAGAAGCCACTGAGTCCAGTCCCTTCATTTTAAGGCCACGGGAAGTTGTAATTGACCAAGGTCATAAGGTAGTGTCAGAGATGGGATTTGAACTCTTCTGTCTTTGACATTTTACATCGTAAGGTCTCTCCTAGTTCTGACATTAAATATTTCATGGTCTCTCCCATTTCTGACTTCCAAGGCAGTTAAAATGATGAACAGATATTTGGGACAGTACTGTAATGAGTTCCCCATCATTTGAAGTCTCCAAGCAATGGCAGGGTGACCACCTGCTGAGGATGTTGGAGAAGGGATTCCCATTCAGGAGTGTGTTGGATTAGAGGGGAAGAGAACAGAATGAATATTTATATAGTAGTTACCATGTGCCAGGTACTGGGCTAAGCACTCTTATAGATATTATCTCATTTGCTCACATTATCTCAAAAGCACTGTTTGAGGCTGGTGCTTTTATTATTCCTCTTCTATAGTTGATGAAACAGGCCAACAGAGGTTATGTGACTTGCCCAGAGTGATACAGCTAGGAAGTATCTGAGGCCAAATTTGAATTTGGGTCTTCCTGGCCCAGGCCCAGTGCTCTATCTAGGGCCACCAGCTACCCCTACAGTGGACTCTGAGATCTCTTTTATCTCTGAGATTCTGCTGTTAAGGGTAGAAAGGCAGTGAGCTCCCCATCACTGGAGGTGTTCAAGAGATGCAGGATTCTCGCACGGGAAATGATTGGACTGGATGTCTCCGAGGCTCAACACATTCTAACTCTGGGAGTTTAAACTCTATGACTATGGCCTTGGGGAAAAGATGAGTTTCCCACACATGCATGATTTGGAGCATGGTAGTGGTCTAGGAGTTAGGATTTAAGGAACTTGGGGAGGGTCTGGAGTATAGCCAGTGCAGCAGTGCAGGGCTTGGGAAGAAAGGTTGGGGGTTGAGATGGGAACACAGGACCTAGGGTGTGGCATCAGGCAGGTAGGAGTGGGGCCCCTCACCTCGGAGCTGTCTCCAAGTGACTGTGGGCTCTGGCCTCCCCACGGCCAGGCATAGCAGGTTCACGTTCCCCCCCTCATTCACTGTCACAGCAGAGGAGATGTTCACGATTCGGGCAGGGACTGAAGAGAGATGGGGGGGAGGGGGGGCAGAAGATGACCCAGAGGTCAGGATCCTTCAGCTCTTCCTCTCTGAGGGCCCCAGGTTTCCTGATCCCACATCTCTGACCCTCTTTAGACATCCTGATCTGCTAGTACCCTCGCCCCCCAGAGGATTCTGGGAATCTTGGACTCCTAACCCCTTTCCCCCTCCAACCCCCACCAGGGACCCAGGCATTTTGATCTTCCAGTTTCTTTTCCTTTCAGTAATCCAAGCGCATAATACCCTAGCCTTGCCTACTAAGATAGGCTAAGCACCCTGATCTGCCTGCCTCGTTCCCCTCAAGAACCCCAATATTCCAGTTTCCAATCCGTGCCCCTGAAAGACCCAGGCATCCTCCCCCCAGCCTTATCCTTCAGGGACCCAGAGTTCTAATTCCTGCCTCTTAGGATGGGGGTAGATGATGAAGGTGCAATAGTCCACGATATTAGCTGCTATTGGGCCCTGAGGAGGTGGGGCTGGAGCAGAAAAGCCTGCCTCAGCATTTTTTTGGGTCGTTGTATACGTTTCTTTGACTCTGTCTCTGCCGCTCTGCTCTCCGTCCCCATCTGTCCTCCTCTACTTTTCCCTTTGTACGGTTCTGGCTCTTATGCCCTTTTTCTGTCTCTCCCTTGAGAGACTCTCCTCCTTCTTCTCTGTCTCTCCCCTCCCTCCTCTTCTATCTCTTTCATTTCCACTCTCCTTCTTCCCTCTCCCCGCCCCTCTTCCTCCCCTTTCCCTTTTCCTCCTCCCTCTCTTCTATCTCTCTTCTTCTTCATCTTTCCTCTCCCCTCCTCTCTCCCTGTGCTGCAGTTTCTGCCCCTCTCCAGGTCCATGCTCCTTTTGGTGTCTCTGCCTGGGTCTCTGTTTCTGTCCCCACCCCTTCATGCCTGTTTACCCCCGTCTCTCCCGGGTCTCAGCCTCGGCCCCTCCCCGGATCCCTGATCCGTGCCCGGTGCCTCTCTCTGGGGCAGCCGACCTGTGCTTCTTACCGTGCACGATGAGGTAGACCTGGGCCGTGTGCGGCTGCTGCCGGGTCTGGAAGGAGCAGGTGTAGAGACCCTCGTCGCCCAGGCCCACGCGGGTGATGAGGATGGAGAACTCGGCGGGAGAGTTGGTGAGCAGCCGCACCCGCGGGTCGCTGGTCCAGCGGTCATTGCCGGCATACAGGATGTTGGAGCGGTTCAGCCAGGCCACGCGGGTCACGTGCTCGTCGATGGAGCAGCTGCGGCCACGGGGGAGGCTCTGGCTGGCACCGGCCTGGGCACCGGGCCCTAGGGGGAGGGGGCTGGGGACCCTGGGGGAGGGAGCTCCCTGGGGGAGGGAATGGGGCACCTACCTTGAGTGAGAGGGAAAGGGTACCTTGGGTTGCCAGGGCTATCAGGGAGAGAGGGATGGGGGCGCATAGGGCGGGTCTTGGCTGTACCTGAGTGTGGCGTTGTCTCCCTCACAAACGGTGTAGTTGTCTGCCAGAGAGCTGAACTCCAGGCTCTGGGACAGCAACCCTGCAGAGAGGCAGAGGGGTGGCGCACATGATCTCCATCCCATCCCCTACAAGCACAAAACCCGGGCCAGGGCTGGCATGTCACCCACACAATCTGTGGTGCCCCATGACATGTAAACACAGGAACAAGCCAGCTCTTGTCATCCCTTTTTCTAGTGGGTTATGGCTGGCAAACTCCCCCGGCACAGGGAGATTCAGAGAGAATGGGGCAGAGAGACAAAAAGAGAGACAGAGAGACAGTAACAGAGAGGTAGATACAGTGATGTCAACAGACAAAAATGTTGAGACAAGGGAGGGATGCAACTGCCTGAATGGGATTACAAAATACCCTGGAACCACTGATAGGAGGAAGTGAGAAAAGATCCTGGCCAAATCTCCCAGCAGGCAATGTGAGGAGAGGGAGGGGAGAAGGTAACTAATCCACATCCCTTTTTATCCTGGGACAATTGCTACCAGGCAACTCTAAGCCCCCCCCTTAGAGTCTTCCATCCCTAAACTCTGGGTATATGTGTAGGTGTGTGCAGTGGATGGATGGGGAACAGGTACCCCACCTAGAGTTTATCTGAGATCACATCTACTCCCCTGCCTCTGGTCACCCTGCTCCCCCCGGAGTCCTTCCTGTATTTAAGGGACACCAGGGAAAGAAATTTAGTGAAGTTACTGTCCCCATGAGATACTAAGACACACAAAAGCAAACCACCGCAAAATCACAGAACACACCCACCCACCAGGAGAGGCAGCTTTTACCAGCCCCGTACCTGCCCTCCTTATGACTTTCTCCAGTGTTCAGAGCATTCTATCCAATCAAAATAGACACAGAGTCAGGGAGAGCAAGACGCACTGAGAGTGAGGGTAACTTTGAGACACATAGTCATAAGTCAGTGACATAGTAAGGCACAATGTCACAGTCACACACTAGTCTCCGACATGTCTCCACTATAAGCTCCAACTCCCCCGCCCCAGATGCTGGAGCAATGAGCCCCCTTGCTCTCCCACTTTAGACCCTACAGAGCTTTGATTTCAATATACTGACACTCACTCACTCTCACATACAGAAAGGGAAACACAGATGGAGACATGCAGGCAGGGGCACTCCCAAGGACACACAGTCACACACAGGCATCTAGACATATTTACAAGGACAAAAGTCTCAAACACACTGATATACAGATAGGCGGACACATAGTCCCAAGGGCACACACAAACACACACACAAATATAGATACAAAGTCACATACTTCTAGGAAGGAAAAAAACCCAGAATCAGAAAGACATGGAGATAGACATAGACGTGCACACAGACATACCAATAAAGACACACAAATAACACAGATAGAGCTCCACAGACAAATATGTAAAGAAACAGACAGTCATAAAGATGTACAGTCTCCTACAAAAACACACAGAAACAAGAGCAGACATGTATAGACAAACAACACACAAAGTCACAAAGACACTCTCTCCTATGTAGAGACACACAGATCTTTAGATACATATACATATGAACTTGTAATGACAAACTATTTGAAATAAAGTTTTCTTCCAGGGTCTCTCCCCCCCCTTCCTCCTCTTCCTCCTCCTCCTCCTTCTTCTTCTTCTTCTTCTTCTTCTTCTTCTTCTTCTTCTTCTCTCTCTCTCTCTCTCTCTCTCTCTCTCTCTCTCTCTCTCTCTCTCACACACACACACACACACACACACACACACACACACACCCTTGATTCAAAGCCCCACTTCCACCACCAGGTATAATCATGAAAAGTCCTCTGTTGGGGAAGGCTACTACAATACAATACAGTGGGAGGGACGGAAGCAAACCAACAGGTGGGACTACCACAAAGTGAAGTAACTTAGTTGAAGAGATGAAGGAGTTTCCCTTCCTATCTGCAATCCTTCAGGCAAGAAGATGATTGGAGAGAACCACATAAGGAAAGCTGTGAGGGGGAGGGGAGGGGCGGGGAGGGAGCTTGGACTAATAAGGTCTAATATTTCTCCTGGCTCTGCTATTCTGAGCTTCAGCTCTCAGTTTTATTAACTATGAACTGAGTTCAAATCTGGCTTCAGACACTTACTAGCTGTGTGACCTTGGACAAGTCACTTAACCCCTATTTTTGTTTCAGTTCCTCATCTGTAAATTGGGCATATTGAAGAAGGAAATAGCATTCCATTCCAGTGCTTTTGCCAAGAAAACTCCACAGACAAAAGCCTACAAGGTCACGTAGAGTTGGACATGATTGAACAACAACATAAAAACCATTTTACAAGGATTTGGCAGGAGTTAGGGCATGGGAATGGGAGAAGAGTGTGGGGTATGGAAACACACACACACACTCCTAGCTCTCTAGGGCCCCCAGAACACCCCTTTCAATGAATGGAGGTACCTTCAGGGACCCAGCTGTGCAGACTTCTCAGAGCCAGACTCATGGATTAAATTATTGGCTGGAATTATGACTTGAGGATGGACATTGTTTTACAGGAGAGAGGAGATGCAGTTTATTCCATGAGAGAAAGGGAATGACGTACTGGAGCTTTTATCCTGAGTGGGGAAGATGATTATTCAGGGTGCCAGTTTCGGAAGTTATCAACCATCTCAATGTGAAACTGGGACTTGTTTAGGTGGAGCCCATTTCTCTCTCTTCGTCAAGTACAAGCATCCCTTACTTGAAGTAGATGCTATAGGACTGACTCCTATGGCCCCATCAGCCCAGATGTCTCCTCTGGCCAAGCATCTTCAGAAGGAAGCTCAGTCCTTTCACTGCTTCCTGAGGCCCCCAAACAGGCAAGCAAAGAAACAAGCACAAAACCTTCTCACCTCTGTGGTGTCTGCCAAGAGACACGAGGCAGGTCATTTGCTATTCTAAGGTCGTCTGTTTTCAGACCTCAGCCCTGGCTCTGCTCTCCCCAGCGAAAGGTGAGTTCCGCTAGAGGAGGTGGGAGGGGTGGGAGCAGAAGGGGCTTCTTGCTGCTGGGGCAGGCATTGCCTGGATAGGAGCTCAGGATGTGGGGAAGGAGCAGGAAGGGTCTGAGAATCACAGAGGCAGAGCCACAAAAGCCATTGCAACTGAGAACATCTCAATCAGAGCTGGAAAGGTTCTTAAAATATAGAACATAAAGTGTCTGAGTTGGCCCTCACCCCAGTGGCAACTCTACGCCTCCACGCCTTCTTCAAGAACAGTGTGAAAGGAGGAATCAGCCTAAAACAGAGAGTGTCAGAGCTGAGAGGGACCTTAGGGTAGAACATCAGAGCTGGGAGGGTCCCCAGAACTTAGAACAGAGAATGTGAGAGCTGAGAAGGAGTGTAGGGTAAAACATCAGAGCTGGGAGGGTCCCCAGAACTTAGAACAGAGAATGTCAGAGCTGAGAGGGATCTTAGGATAGAACATCAGAGCTGGGAGGGTCCTCTGAACTTAGGACAGAGACTGCTCGAGTGGAAAAGGACTTTCTGAATGGAGAAAGTCAGAGTTGGAAGACACTTTAGAATCTAGAATAGAAAGTATGAAAGGAGGAAGTGATCACCACACATAGAATGTCAGAACTTAGAGTGGCCTTAAAATGTGGAATGTCAGAGCTGGAAGAGGGATTAAAACATTAAAAGTTCTTTATAACATTGAAAGATTAGAGTTGGAAGGAACCTGAGAATGTCAAAGTTGAAACAGACTTTATGAATGGAGAATGTCAGAGTCAGAAGGAACTTTTGAAACTAGAACAAAGAATGTTATGACAGAACTGATCTAAGGAAACAGGATGAAGAATGTCAGAGTCAGAAGGAATTTTTGAACCTAAAACAGACAATGTCAGAGTATAACTGATCTAAGGAAACAGAATGAAGATTGCCAGATCTGGAAGGAACTTTTAAACCTAGAATACAGACGTTAGATTAGAACTGAAGTAAGAAAACAGGATGGAGATTGTCAGAGCTGGGAGGAACCTTAAAACAAAGTATCAGAACTAGGAAATTTCTTAGCTATAGAATATTGAAGGTGAAAGCACCCTGAGAACACAGAACAGAAAGTGATATATTCTTTCTCCTGGAAGGGAAAGAGTATAGAACATCAGACTCAGAAGTAACTTTAAAGCCTAAAACAGAGAATGTTAAGGGTGAATGGGATCTTAGACAAAGAATGTAGAATGCCAGAACTTTGAACTTGAAAACCTAGAACAAAGAATATCAGTACTGAGAGGGATATTAGAAACCACCTAGTCTAGCCCTCTCATTAGACAGTTGGAAAACAGACTTAAAGGCGGAAATGGCTTTCCCAAGGTCATATGGAATTAGTGAGAGAGCTGGGACTGAAACCTAGGTCAATGATTCCCAGTCCATTTGCTAAGAGATTTTCACTATCCTGGTTAATGGACTAAACTGTAGGGAAGCCAGAGTAGAGACCAAGAGAAATAGGGGAAGCAGATCAGGAGACAGACATGGAAAAATACTGAAACAGAAATAAATAAGAGATGCAGATACAGACAGAATAACAAAAAGAGAAAGATTCAGAGACTCAGAGATGAGGTAGAAACAGAGTTAAAAAAGAGAAAGAGATGGATATTGAGGAGGAACACACATAGGGAGGGTCTTGGAATTGGAAGTGATGGGCAGAGGAGGGAAAGATGCTGAGGGAAACAGGTGCAGACATACAGACACTCAGAGAGAAACTGAAAACCAGATAGAGAAAGCATGAAGGAAACTTAGTAAGAGGGATAGAGACCTGGAGATATTTTAAAAACAGAAGCAAATGACAAAAATGGGGAGAAAGAAGCCATGAAAGAAATGCATACATACAGAGAAAGAGATAGATAGAGAGAGAGAGAGATGAGAGACAGAGACAGAGGCAGACAGACAGATAGAGACAGAGAGACAGAAATAGACGGAAAAAGACAGGAGAGAGAGACAGAGACAGAGGCAGACAGAGAGACAGAGACAGAAGAGAGGCAGAGACAGAGGCAGACAGAGAGACAGAGACAGAGAGACAGAGACAGAGAGACAGAGACAGAAGAGAGGCAGAGACAGAGGCAGACAGAGAGACAGAGACAGAGAGACAGAGACAGAGGCAGACAGAGAGACAGAGACAGAAGAGAGGCAGAGACAGAGGCAGACAGAGAGACAGAGACAGAGAGACAGAGACAGACAGAAATAGACAGGAGAGGGAGAGAGACAGAGACAGAGACAGAGAGAGACAGAGAGACAGAGACAGAGAGAGAAGAGAGACAGAAAAGAGACAGAAAGAGATAAAGAGAGAGATGAAAGACAGAGACACAGAGGCAGACATGAATAGACAGAAGAGAGAGAGAGAGAGACAGACAGACAGACAGAGACAGAGAGACAGAAATAGACGGAAAAAGACAGGAGAGAGAGACAGAGACAGAGGCAGACAGAGAGACAGAGACAGAAGAGAGGCAGAGACAGAGGCAGACAGAGAGACAGAGACAGAGAGACAGAGACAGACAGAAATAGACAGGAGAGAGACAGAGACAGAGACAGAGAGAGACAGAGAGACAGAGACAGAGAGAGAAGAGAGACAGAGAAAGAGACAGAAAGAGATAAAGAGAGAGATGAAAGACAGAGAGACAGAGGCAGACATGAATAGACAGAAGAGAGAGAGAGAGAGACAGACAGACAGACAGAGACAGAGAGATGGAGACAGAGAGACAGAGACAGAGAGACAGAGACAGATGGAAATAGGAGCGGGAGAGAGAGACAGAGACAGAGAGAGAAGAGAGCTAGAGAAAGAAACAGAGACAGAGAGAGATAAAGAGAGAGATGAGAGAAAGACAGAGACAGAGGCAGACAGAAATAGACAGGAGAGAGAGAGAGAGAGAAAGAAAGAGAGACAGAGACAGAGAGAGATGTAGAGACAGGTGAAGAGAAGACATTATTCAGAAACATACACGAAGAACAGGATGACATGAAGAGACACATAGAGACCACCAAGAGATTAGAGAGAATGAGATATAGACACAGTAAGCAGAGAAGAAATGAGCAAAAGAGGATGGATGGAAAGTAAGAAAAGAAGTGAAGAGATGGTGAGTTATATGAAATGGGGAAGATTCAAAGAGATACAGAGACAGTTGGATGAAACTGAGAAACAGACACAGAAAGAGCCAGAGACAAAGCCAAAACGCTACAGAGGGGGAAGTTAGAGAACCAGGTGCAGACAGGCAGGCAAGGCAGGGCAGGGCAAAGCTTTGGCCCTTTCCACCCTGCCTCCCCCTTTCCCCTGCCCTCTAGCCTGGCTGGAAGAGATGGCCGGGTCCCTGACTATGGGCGAATCTCCTCTGGGAGCCAGAGGTGGGACTGGGCCTAGGCCCCCTTAACCCCTTTCTTGCTGGGAGAAGCCTCTGCTTGAGGTAGGCCTGGGCCAGGGAAACTTAATTAGTCCAGCATCTCTTCAGTCCATTAACCTTTCCGGCAGGAGCCCTAGAAATCGCTGCCAGCGCTGGCCCTCCTTCCCATCCCTGCTCTTCCCCATAGCTACCCCAATCATTCAGACACCTGGATGATCCACTGCCCTGCCCTTGTTCCCTAATCCCACAGGCACCTTAGCCTCTGTTTGCCCCCTCAGTGAGCCAGACGACCTCAACCTTCAGCAGCCACCCTCCTCAGTGACATAGGCGCCTGAGCCTCCAGCACAGTTCTTCTCTCCCCCCCCATACACTCCCACCCCTCCCACCCCGTGCCAAGGTCTGGCCTCCAAGTCCCACTGCCCCCCTGAAATAGCCCTAAATGACCTATTTCACCTTTTTCCCTATTCCACCCCAATCCTCTACACTCTTCCACTTATTTGAACCCCCTGCCCCCAGGTCGATGAAACCGTTTTCTTCAATCTCTTGCTCCCATCCCTTTCTCTCCCGTTCAGCCAGCTTCAGGACTCAGGTTTCTGCCCCCCTCCACCCACCACCCCACCCCACTCCCGCCTGTCCCCTCCTCTGCTATCATCCGGCTGGGATCCAGGCAGGCGGCCGAGGCCCCCAGGACCCCTGGGGACTGTCACCCCCCTACCAATCTCTGGAACCCCCTAGAGACTCAGCAGTCCTCCCCGAGCCCTCCCTTCTGCTATCCCAGCGTCCAGCCTCCACCCCCAGGGGGACCCTAGCGTCTTGATCCCCCAGCGCCCCTCCCCGCCCCCCACCATAGACCCAAGCATCCACTCCCCCCTCCTCCTAGACACATCACTAAGGTCACTTCCAACTCTAGAACCCAATGATAACCTCTTAGCTGCCAAGAACCCAGGCGTCCTGATTCCTCGCTCCCCGCAGGGACCCAAGCTTCCAGCCTCCCCGCCCCCCCGGCCCCAGCGCTGCAGTACCTCGGCTGATGACGGCCAGCCCGGCCAGGGCGGCGGCGGCGAGGAGCCGGAGCCGGGCCCGGGGGCCGGGGGGGGGCATGGCGGCGCGCAGGGGGCGGGAGGGGGAAAGGGGGGGCCGGTCCGGGGCGCGCGGGGCCCGGGGGGGGAAGGGGGAGGGGGAGGGGGGCTCCCCGCCTGCGGCACCGGGCGGGGGGGGCGCGAGGAGCCGGCGAGAGCCCTGCTGCAGACCCGGGGAGGGGGCGGCGCTGACGGGCAGGGGGACCGGCCAATCAGGGGATGCGGGGGGCCGCGGGGCGGGGCAGAGGGGGGGGCGCTGCCTGACGGATGGAGAGGCCTTTGTTACTGCGGTTCTGCCCACCCCCCTTCCGAATCCCCAGTTCCCTCACCCCCGCCCCCTTCGGGACCCAGGCATCTTGCCCACCAGCCGCCCCCGCCCGCACCAGAAGGCAAACATCCGGTCCCCTAGAGCCTACAACGCAGAGACCCAAGCATCCCGCCCCTCTCCTCTTCCAACAAGGACCCAGGAGTCCTGACCTGCAGACACCGCACTGGCAAGAGGTCAGGTGTCCCAGGCCCCACACTGGCAAAGATCCATACTCGACCTCTAGTCCCCGTCCCGGCCATCCCCACCCTACAAGAACCCATGCCTCGCCCCACTCCCCACAGAAACCCTGGAGTTTTGCCCCTCCCTCTTGCCCCCTAGAATTCACCATGCAAGAACACAGGCAGGAATCCTTCTCCTAAAGCACTCAGGTGTGACTCTTCACTCAGTGACCCAGGGGTCCTGATCCCTCAACGACACTGCCTTCACCCACAAGAGTCCTAATACTCCCCCAACCTACTTGGAAGGGATCCAAGCATCCTGAACCCATCAGCCTAACTAGGGACACAGACAACCTGAACATCCCACCCCTCACTTCCTTGAGTATCTTGGCCACCAGATCCCCTAGCCCCTTCAGGAATTACTGGCCATAAAGTGGATGACAGAAATTCTTATTTAAGGGGCTCTGGTCTTTGCAGCCAAGGGCAGCTGACTTTCAATGAGACTATAAGACAAGGGACTTCAGGACCCATGGACCTATTGCCCAGCCAACCATTGGTAGGGCTATCTGTCAGTATGGCCGTCTATGCCCTCAGCATAGTCTCAGCCAAGCCTTGAGGTCATTTTACTTATTACTACGTTGTTTCAGCAAAGATTCAGATCTAGAACTCTAACATTCTAAGATTCTGTGAATGGTGAACTGATACCCTACCCTGAAGTCTTCGGGCAATAAAAGGTTCATTTAGCAGCTTCTCCGGGCTACAATTGGACATGATGCTCTTAGAACTAGAAACTGATACTAGCAGCTAGACTGTCTTTCTCCGCCTTAGGCCTCTCTATAAATAGCTACATACATATATACATGTATAATAGCTCTAACGTTGATATTTCCATTTTACAGATAAGCAAACCGAGGCATACAGTCAAGGATTACACATCTGGGAAGTGTCTCAGGGCAGAATGGAACTCAGGTCTTTCTGATTCTGAGGCCCAGAACTTTATCCACTGAGCCACCTTTCTGCCTTACACAGTCCCTAACACATAGTAGGGGCTTGAGAAATGTTTTTTTTTTTTTGTATAAAGACACATGCGTGCAGAAAAGACCTCTAATTCTAAAGAGTTCCTGATACAGAACCCCTTTCTACCAATGAAAATCAAAATGATTTATTATGTTATGTGATCTATCTCCATTTTCATCTCTGTCTCTTTATCTGTATTGCAGTCAGGAAGGTGACATCTCTGAAACCTATTGGCTGTGAGTCCATAGACAAGTAATAATAATAATAGCTAGCATGCATATAGCAGTTACTGCATACCAGGTATTGTAATTGCCTTTTTTTAAACAAATATAATATCATTTGATCCTCATAATAACCCTGAGAGATAGGTGCTATTATTATCCCCATTTTACAGTTGAGGAAACTGAGACAGACCGAGGTTAAGTGACTTACCCAAGCTTACGCAGCTAGCACATCTCTTGAGGCTGGAGTTGAATTCAGGTCTTCCTAACTCCAGGCCCAGGGCTCTAGCCACTAAGCCACCTAGCTGACCCTTTCAGTGCCCCCAGTAACTTTTTAAGATTTGAAATTTAACACAGTTGCTCATCTGCATTGACAGAGGATTTTTCTTAACTAAGGTTATTACACAGATGAAATCATAGGATCTGGACCCAATAAGTTATCTCTATCATCTCTATCTCTATTTCTAGTTCTAGCTCTGTCTCTCTCGATAGCTAAATCTACATCTTTATCTGTATCTAAACCTATATATATGTATATACATGTCTGCATCTCTCCTCTCCTCTCCTCTCCTCTCCTCTCCTCTCCTCTCCTCTCCTCTCCTCTCCTCTCCTCTCCTCTCCCCTCTTCTCTCCCCTTTTCTTCCCTTCCCTTCTCTTCTCTCCTTCTTCCTCTCCTCTCTCCCTTCTTCCCTCCCTCCTTTTTTCTCCCTTCCTTCTCACTCCCTCATCCCTGCTGTCTCTGTCTTTCTCTCTCTGATTCTGTGTCTATGTCCTTTCCCCCTCCTACCCCTAACTTGGATTCAGACAGTTCCAACTGCTGCCTTGCCAGCTCTGTGATCCTGGGCAAACCACATCATCTTTCTAATGCTCAGTTTTCTTATCTCTAAAGTGGGGGCGATAACATACCTGCTAGTTACCTCAACAGAGACACTGTAAAGGAATGCTTTGTAAATCTTGGAGTGTTATGGAAAAATATTATTGCTAGTACCACTCTCCCTTCCTTGCTGAATTTTTGAGTAGCTAAAACTTTCCTCCTATGGTTCTTCTATTTTTTAAGCAATCAAGGTTAAGTGACTCACCCAGGGTCACACAGCTAGTGAGTGTCAGAGGCCACATTTGAACTCAGGTCCGCCTGACTTGACAGTCAGAGCTCTATCCACTGCACCACCTAGCTGCCCCTCACTCCTGTGGTTCTTACTTCAGCAACAGCTGATATTTTCAGCTGTGAGCACCTCTTGGAACAGTCTTGTATGTTTCTGTTAAACGGTCAAATGCTATGTAGGAGACTGTGATGAAAAATTCATGAGGGTTATAGCAGATGTCAACTTTCTAAAAATTAATAGCTCTTTCATATAATTGACCTGCTAGTGCTTCATCAAACTCAAGAAAGACTTCTTTGGAATTTGAGTCTAAGTATGCCTATCCCCCTTTCAAAACCGTTGGAAAGATGTCTTTGTCCTGTGTTTCATAATTAGGTAGAATTTCTGGAGTTTGTCTTGAGTCATCATTTTTAGGGACATGGAGTTCTTTAGCTTCTCCCTCCCAGTTTTTGTAGTTGCTTGACTTTAATCTCTGATTTTATCTGGAAATGAAGTAGCTTTTTTCCCTAATTTTTTATATGACTGCCCTTCACTGGTTGTTGTGTAACTCAGGGCTCAAGGTACTATTGAGAAAAAGCAATAGGAAGCCCTTGCCTACGGCTAGTAAGATCAGCTTCCAATTACGTCATGAATTTGTATTGGAACATACTAAAACATTCATGTATCAGCTGATTAAGAGAGTGCATGGAGTCACTCACGATTTGCCTGCTCTAGCGATTCAGCAGGCATATAATAACACTCACCATTAATAATGAGAAGAATAAGAACAACAGCCTACGCAGTACCTGACATGTGCTAGGCACTGTGCTAAGTGCTTTGCAATATCTCATTTGACCCTCACAACAGTCTTAGGAGAGAGGTGTTATTATTATCTCCATTTGACAGTTAAGGAAACTGAGGCAGATGCAGGCAAAATAACTTGCCCAAGGTCACACAGCTAGTAAGTGTCTGAGAATGGATTTGAACTCAGCTCTTCCTGACTACAGAACCAGTATTCTATTTACTACACCACCTTTTCCCAGTGTTTCTTATCTTCTTGTGGTGCCGGAAAATGAAGGGACGCCACTCACTTCTCTATTCTCTACATTAAGATGATTGGTATGACAGGTCTGAGTAAAACCAGCCTATTTCTGTGTCTCTTTAGGAGCACTTGCATCCCTCTGAACCACATGATAATGTATCAGTGGGGTTGCCAGAGGGTAATTTGCCTTTTTTTTTTTTTAAAGCATCCCTGCTAGGCACACAAAACCCTTGATAAGATATCACTCAGGCTAGCATCCACCCACGTGGCCATTGCCACCCTCCTCATGACATGGACAATGAGCTTTGAGAGCGTGGTACTGAATGTTTTTATCTCCTTTGTTAATAACATTATTATTATTTAAAATTGATTTTACATAGGAAGAATCCTAGGACAAGTCACCATCCTGGATTGTACTTTTATGCCTAGCGCATAAAAATAGCAACAACCTGGTTTTTGTTTTGTTTTGTTTTTGTAGTAGAATAAATGGATGAAGAAATAAACTCATTTTCTGTAGGCTCACTAAAAGCATTCTCTGGACAACCCCAGTTGCAGATATGATGGCAAGTATAATATGGACCTCATCTTGTTCCCACATGGTTTTGATTTCTTTTGTTAAGTCTCTATATTTTGAAGGCTTTTTAGTTCTAGAAAGCTTTGTGGTCATGGGTATTTGGTATGGCACTACCTATTTAAAATGTGGTTCTTAAGTGTTATGGATCAATGTTATATTTGGGATAATAGCCTGGTTCAATGCTAGAGTTCTTACTGATATTCTGAGGCATGCATTTATAGTATGGGAATTTGACATCTATCAGTTTGTGAAAAATAGTAAGCTTTTGATGCATAATTCTTGTCAGCAGGTCATATATTGCTAGGGGTTCAGTAGGCACTAAGATTGTGCAACCTGTGGTGTCATGTTGTACAGTTTCTACCACTTTATATAATTTAGAGTGATCACTAAGACAAGGTTGCTTAAGGGTAACACTTTTAGAATTTGTTGTGGCAATGACCTATTCCTGAATTGTTACCATAAACCTTTACATCTCTCTCTCTCCCTCTCCCTCTCTCTCTCTCTCTCTCTCTCTCTCTCTCTCCCTCACACACACACACACACACACACACACACACACACACACACACACACACTCTGGCCCACATAACTCACCTTTTTTTT